TTGTCACATCAACAACAATTTAAAAGTAAATAAATAAAAAAATAATGAAAGTAATTAAGGTGTAATGGATCAATATGTGAACCCAGGAGTTTAATAATAAATTGATGAATTAACATCTTCAAAGATTGGACATTTAGTAATTGATTTAGCAGAAGTGACAATGAGAGTTACAGGAGCTGTTGATTCTCTTACTGAAGGAGTTAAAGCTTTTGGTAGATAAATTGAAGAAAGATTGAAATTAGAAAACACTTAATGGGAAGTTATTGAAAGTGAACATAATGCTAAAGTTATATCTCTTAGTTCATAAGCAAATTAAGCTGAATTTGATATCAATAGAGAAAAGAAAGTTTTAAATTCAGAATTGATACCACGACTTCATGAATTAGATGATGTATATTATTATTATTATTTATTATAGATACTTTTAGGACTTAAAGCTAAATAAACAGATAATACTTAATCATTTTAAGAAGCTGAAGCTGCTAGAAATACACAACATAATTCATTTGTATTAACAACTACTGAATTTACTGATGCACTTAGAAATATTGATGAAGCATTAGATTTATTAACTGATCTATTTAAATCTGGAGAAGTTAGAGCTGCTTTTATTGAAGTTTCAGATGAATAAAAACATAAAGTTAATAAAGCTTTAAGATAAGTTAAAGCTAATACTGAAAACTTTGGACATTAATATTCATCTTTCATTTAAGCATTAACCAATTTAACTGAAGGATTCAATTTTAAAGATAGATAAGTTTTAAAGGAAATGTGTGATTTCTTAAATAGTTTGAGATTAAATATTTTTGATGCTTTAACTAAAGCTTATAAAGATGAAGACAGTTAAAAATAATAAGATGAATTAAGAAGATAATAATTAACAGCTGAAAAAGCAGTCTTTGATTAATAATATGCTGATTTCTATTAAGAAAGAGAAGATAAAACTGTTAGAATTTCTGATGTTTAAACTATGATTTCTACAAGAGAAGCTGATCTTAAAGCTTATTAAGATAGATTAAGAACTGAAAATAATAATTATTCAGCTAATCTTAAAATTCATGATGATATTGTGGTATTTTATTAATCTTATTCATTTTTTATAGGCTTCTGTCTAATAAGAATTAGCAGTCTTAGCTAAAGCATTATAAGTTGTTTAAACACCACCATTTTTAGATTTCTTAAATGGTAGAATAGCTAAAGCATGATTTAATAAAATAACATATTAAAGTATGATTTTTATTTGAATATTAAACAAAATTGACATCTCTAAAGTTAGATTCAAACATTATTTTTAAATTTTAATTTACAAATAAAAAAATAAGTTCTAAATATGTAGGAAGTGAGTAAAGGGATAATAGAATAAAATGGATTAATTTAAGTAAACAAGAAAGTTTTATTGTTTTTTTGTTTGATTTTGTTAGTATAATTTTAATATATATAAATCAAAGTGAAAAAAATTAAATGAATAATCCGTATTAACCATATAGACCTTATTCAAGATTGGGGAATACTCCTCCTTAAAATCCAAATATTGTGTCTTATGTAGACTCAGTATTATAGAAATCAAGAAATATGTACGGACATCGAGCATCTGATGCATAGACAAGATTTCAATAATAATAAGGAAATACAGGGATAGTAAAAACAGATACAGATGTAAAGTACATAATAAGTTCTCCTTTACTTGTTTCTCAAAAATCAATGGTGCAACAATAGACATTAAAAAGCAAGCTAGAGTATTAATCTCCGAAGAAAAGCGAATAAATTTAATTTCAATTAGAATAGAACTAGAATGTTGGTTTAATTGGATAAAGTAATAAGAGAAGAGTAGAGAGTGAGAAAGTAAGGATGTTATTAAATTATGAAGGTCCAATTGATTAGTGAGTAAGAGAAAAGTGGGATGCCAAAATATAAGAATTTTATGACAATAAAAAGGTTGGGTGTTGGTAAGTATAGTGAAGTGTTTTTGGCATTATAGATTCAAACAGGATTTTTGGTTGCATTAAAGGTGATATAGAAAGCTTTGATAATAAAAGAGATGATGTAAGGTTAATTGGCATGGGAAATAAAAATTTAATATCTTCTAGATCATCCAAATATCACAAGATTGTACACATTCTTTTAGACTTGTAAGATTAATAAAATACCTGCGTAGAGACTGAAATCGTATTAGTATTAGAATATTGTTCTCATGGATAATTGAATAGTGTATAACAAACTAAATAGAATAAGAGATTCAATGAGAAAGAAGCAGCTCAAATGGTTTAATAGATAACACTAGCTTTGATGTATATTCATAATTAGGATGTGATCCATAGAGATATAAAGCCAGACAATATCTTATTGAGTTTTGGATAAGTTAAATTAGCAGATTTCTCTTTCTGCGTTTATTCTCCAGATGAATATAGATAAACTTAATGTGGAACATTGATATATGCATCACCTGAGATCTTAGAAGGAGATATGTATGATAAGAAGATAGACATTTGGGGTTTGGGAGTTTTGACATATGAATTATGTTTTGGAAAGCCTCCCTGGAAAGAGAATTAATAGGAATTAATGAAAACAGTAATATTCTTAATTATTTAGGCATGTTTTATGATACCTTATACTGCATCTAGGGATTTAAGAGATTTTATAGAAAATCTAGTTAAACGACTATCTCGCGAGAGATACACTGCATAATAAGCATATAATCATGCTTGGTTGTAGAGAAGTATGCAAATGATACCATTTTACATTTCCACTAATGAAAATTTATTTAATTGATATATTTATATGATTTAATAAATATTAGTTTATTATATTATAATTATCTTAATGAAATCAAATTGGTAATAATTAAGGTTCAAAGTCATTTATAAAATTCTCAGGATAAATTTTATTATGAAATTTTGGAAGAGGTAGATTCTTTATTATTTCAACGGTATTACTCTCACTAATAAAATATATAAATAAATATTGTACTGATCTGCAGTTTATGCTAATGAACCTTTCTTTCTTATAAAATTTAACAAATATTCTCTAATCTACTTCCATCTTTTTTTGATTCTTTTAAGTTATTCTCCTCTATTAATTAATAGTCTTTTTGTTAACCAATTTGTATTTTTTAAATGAGGAAATTTAGAATTGATTTTATCTCTAAATTTATCTAAAACAATTTATTAATTATGTAGATTAGCCCATAGAATTTCCCAAAGAATAATAAATATGAAAGTTGAATTGATTATAACTAAGAAAATGTAAAATGGCCAGATAATTTCTTAATTGTTGCTTTTATTGGCAGAATATAAAGTCATTCCTAAGACTATTGATGTTCCACATACTAGGGTACTAAAATCATCAATTTAATTAAGAAATGGAAGTTTATAAGGTTTATACTTTTTGGTCAATCCAGAGTATATGAATACAATAATAAATATTAATGCAGCTTTAATAATGATTAAATCTTCATAAAAAGTGAGGAAGGATAAGATAAAACTCTTCTCATAAATTTTAACAATTTCCCAAAAGTATGCTTTAGGTTAATATTCATTATAGAGATAACCCCAACTCTTTCTACTATCTGGTTCATCTAATTTAGTTCTAATTTTAAAGAGATTAAGAAATAAATAAGTTGGTATGATGAATCCTAACATCAAAGCTGATGGCAATACAAAAGTAAGTAACCATTTTACATGAGAACTTGTATTATATCTATAAGATACATTACCTTATATCCAATAGATATCTGAAATATATCTAAATGACAATAAGGAAATGAATCCACCTAATAGAGTAGGTTATAAAAAAGTAAATAAATATATAAGTGTAGTACTGATAGCACTCTTATTAGAATTAATTAATCTAGCCATTATAGCAATAGCATAAAGAATAAAGAATGTAATAATGTAGATCAATGGCATAATTAAAGCCCAGATCATTCTGAAATAAAGAATGTCAATATTTGTCATCTGAATGAGAAAACAATCTAAAGAATAACTCATAGATTCGATAGGAGAGCCTACTGTTTCGAATGCTTCAGATAAAGCACTAGGTAGAGAAAGTTAGAATGTGGTTACAACTCCTATAATCTATAAATAATTTGTTAACACTTTTATAAGAATACCTCCATAACCAGTTTTTGGATTCTCAAAATAAGACTTCTTCAATTTATTTCCTAGGACTATATTATCAACCATCTCCATTGTACTCTTTACTTATAACATAATAGATATAATAGTCCAAGCACTCACTAATACTACTTTAAAAGTATTATTTCCAATTTGATCACAACTACCACATTTATATTATCCATTCATAGACCAAGATCCCTTTCCTTCTATATTATAAATATCACATTATTCACATAATGCACCAATATGACCAGCAAAACAAGATAGATTTCCTGGTATCCATCCTCCTTCACAATTTTTTTCCATATTTAAACAATATTCTATCTTTACACTATACGTATATGGTCTCCAATATCCAGATCTCAATTTTACCCTTGCTGATGTCACTTTCTCTGTAGATATTGAATCACGTATTTGGCATCGTTATCCTGGTTAAACTGAATATTAATCCAATGTTGAATCACATACAACACATGTACCATCATCAACTCTTTTTTATTCTCCTAACTGACAATCTAGAGTTTAAACATTTATTCTCAAACGATAATCTTCAATAAATTTTATTATTTAATATGGAGCTTCAGAATTAAATATTGATATCTTTACAGAATTACAAATGAATTCCAATTATAAAACTTCTTCAGTATTTTTTGTTGGATCAAAATAAATTATCATATCATCTAAATTATAATCTTAGGTTGTAGTATTAAACAGGATCTCCTTTAAATTCAAAAAGCTCTGATTATTTTTTGATTAAATAGTTATTGGAATCTCTGAATTTGCACTTAATTTAGATACAAGATATGATTTGATTGAACATTTTGTCCCATCTAAATTTTAAATTTTATTATATTATTTGTTTAATGCTAAGATACGAAATGTCAAATTGTAAGATACAAACTATTATGCTGTCTCATTATAATATTTATAACTGCTTATAGCTTAACCACTCGGTAAATTTATATATTTTTTTATTTCATTATTAAAAGAATATGGTTTTATTGTTACCTGATCTATAATGGTTGTAGTATTTGACAAAATCACTTTCTTTTCTAATAATATCTTACCTCCATCAAGAGACAATGTTAATTGAGATGGATATTCAGCATAATTTTAACCATACTAACTTGCATAATTATCTATAAGACGTAAATTAAGTTTATCTGGAGAATTAAGAGTGTAATTACTTAAATAGAATGCTCCTCCTATTTAGGCAGAATTTGATGACAAATCTGAATCATAAATATTAAAAGTTGCAGATTTAGAAATAAAATAGACAACAGCTCCTGACTAAGATGCTTGATTTTAATTAAATAAACATGAAACAATAAGAAGATTCATATCATCAACATGAAATACACCTCCATTTTAACCTGTGTTAGAGTGAAATTCACTATTAGTAACTTCAATTGTATATATTAATTATTTCTTAGATTGAGATAACAATCTATATCTATTTTAATTCTATTATCTAAATACTAAACAACTATATCCACATAAGTTTTTATTAAATTTAATATTACTAAATTTAATTATATTAACACCCATATCATAATATTTTGTAAAAATATGAATTATCAATCCTTTTTAACAATTGGGACAACTTAACATCTAAAATTAACTATCTTAGTAAGTGATTTTAAAATTCTACTGTATTGAATCGATTTAAATTAAACAATTAGGATTGATAAAGCTTTAATAAATACTTTTTATATTAATTTATCCATAATAACTGATGATAGAACTATTAATACCTTCATAAATATAAGAAGGTTTATAAATCTCTTAAGAACATTACATTAACAATGGAGAGTATGTGATTTCGGATTTCTCAACAGTAATTTCATCATATTTATAAGTAGAGATATTAAAAAGATTAATGTTTTAAAAATTTAACAAACTCACTGAAGTGAATATCATCATAGGTTGTGAATATGTTTAGCAATTAGAAATACTAATTTATTTAAAGTTTACTTATCCCGATTAAACTTCAAATAATCCACTAAATTGATTTGAAATAGTGCTCATCTAAATATATAGATTTCCCATTAAAGAAATAAAATAACTGGAAGAATATGTACTTAATTCAATTTCTGATAAATAATATAGTAAACCAAGATATTCTTTAAATCCAGCATAACTATTTCTTACAATGAAATTTTATAAGTAAACATCAGCTCTTGATGTAAATGGAATTCTTAAAAATGAATAATATAAGGAATAGGATTCACTCACTGTAATATTGATCAATCTAACATTATTCTTTACTTTAGATGGATTAATAAAGAATACACCTCCTTCTCTTCTGCTATAGCTTCTTGTTATTTGAGCATTTGTTATATTCAAATCTAATTGAGATAATTAAGCATCAATATAGATTGTTCCACCTTAAGCTGATGATAATTTTTCTAAACTTGCTCTGCAATCAATAAAAGTAATATTGTAAATTTTAATTATTCCTAATTATATTGGTATTATGAATAATGCACCTCCCTTTTAAGATCTTGATTCCAATATTAATACATTTTCTATTTCTAAAATATTGGCTGATAAATATGCACTTCCACCTTATGAATTGATTTGGAATGCCTATGTGTAATTTTCCAAAAATAACACTTAATTTTATTATATACCCCAATATATATTCTATTGAATAGTATCCAAAGGAGGAAAATTTGATTGCAAAAAACTACAATTCAATATCAATATCCATAAAGATTTCAATACCAAATTTGAATTTTATCCATTTGTTATCATATTCCTTTCAAAGGTTACCTATTGAAGTAATATACTAGAATAAGGACTAGAAAATAAAATAGTGGAGGATGAAATAAAAGATAGATCTGGGATATAACTATGTTAGTAATTATGAAAGAAAGTCACGTTTTTTATTATCACATTTTAATATTGCTCTGAAGTTATTTAAATTATGGCTTACTATTCACTAATCTTAGTTAATAAAAGTAAGTTTTAAGAAAAAAAACTATCTTCTATTATAATACTTTCATGTTATCTTACTTTCATTTTATCAGAAGATTTTATCATAATTAATGGTAAATTAATACTTCTTAAATTATTCAATTCAATATTTTTTAATTTTAATTCTTTTGAATTATATAAATACAACAATGCTGTATAACCCTACACAAATATCTAACTTTATGCACATGAAAAGGCATTATGCAAAAAACTAGTCTTTTGTTCAGAATGGCTAGCTTTCAAATTTATTATTTTAACATCAATACTGTTTAAAATTGCAAATTCAGGAAAAGATTATTTTCTTATAATATCAATGTTTTATAATGATATTTAATAAACATCAAGGTAAATTGTCGAATCTTCAGAGACTATATCTCTTTTATTAAATTTACTAGATTATCCAAACAATTAATTAAAATGAATTTTCAAATCCAAAATTTCTATAGATAATTTAATAAAAATGTCTTAGTATATTTCAATGAATGCTTTTCCACTTGCAAATTAATTATTCTCAATAATTAGATCTTAAATTTTTATAAAGTTTTAATTATTATTTGAATCAGAATATGCTACAGTTGCTTTGTTTGTAATAAATCTATCATTTGATGTTTCTAAAGTATTACCAACTATTTTTAATTTTTGTAGTGAAAACAAGGGTAAAATAAGCCAAATTGAACCTAATTTTAATTAACTTGATTATAATTAACAATCAATCAATTTAACTGAAAGAAACCCTTCTAAATTTAGAAATGTAGACGATATAAATGTTGAATTTAATGTTTTCATTTAATTTAATTCAAATACAGCTTTTCTTATTGATGATTGATAATTAGTCTATAATATGGTTGATTAAGAAAATTAAGAATCTTGAACATAAAATGAATTAATTTAAACATTTTAGTTTTGAAAGTTTTCAAAAAGTGATAAAACTAAAAGTGAAGAGTTAATGAGAATAGTATTGATAACATTAACATTTTTAAATTCAATTTAAACAATTTAATTATTATTATTGAAGCCTTAATACATAAATATTCCATAGGTATTGTTAACAGTCATATCCTTAAAAGTAAGGGAATTACAAATTAATGATTTTGGATTATTGATAATAAATTATAACTTGACATTTTAACAACTAAAAATAATATCTTTGATTGTGAAGACAACCCCATAAGTAGAGGAAATGTAGATATAAATATCATTTAATGGGAAATTAGAAATTTATAGATTTTGAATGATAACAGATGAAAATCCTATAAGTTGAAAGGTTTTAATAAGTAGTGTTAATTAGGCTAAATTAGTTTTAATTAGAATTGGAAGATTAATTAATGTAAAAATATTTCTCTTCAAATTAGTTGCTATAGTTAAATTATTAATTAATCCACATTAAATATTACTTGAAATAAAAATAATTTCAAAATTAATTTATTTAATTGTTCTTTAATTCATAATAGAGTAAAAAAACTGTGTTTCATAAAATGGTTAATAAGATTCATAATCATTAAGAAGAATATGATACTTTTAGAATTCTTCTAATGTTCCTTTGTAAGTTGATTTTGCAGAATTATAACTAATGAGATCACAATAATAATTGAGAATGATTTTAATAGAATTATAGCAGAGTGAATTAAGACATTCTACATAAACACCGATTTCAACATCATAAAATAGAGTAGTATCAATAAAAGGAATTAGACATTAATTTCCATATTTTATTAAATCCTAATATTGGGGATCAAAATAAGGATTAATGGATTGGATTTCTTTTTTTGATCTTAATCTGCAATGAGCACAATTGTAAGGACATTCTATACAATTATCATCATAAAGACTTAATTATTAGCCTCTTTCATTTGATTTACATTTATAACATACATTTTTAAAATTAATTTTTTTACATTCACAATTAGATGAACAAAGAGGTATACATTAAGTCTAATATAATTCATATCCATATCTACATGAAGTACAACTAATTTGAAGTTTTGTATCACTATAGAGAGAAGACAATTAGATAAGATTATTAGATTATTGAAATTTAGTTGATGAGAAATATGGAATATAAAATGGAATAAGTTTTTGTTTCCATCCATCTAATAAAATTTGATTCTCCATAACACACTAAAAACAGGGACTTTTACAATCGATTAGATTATTGAATTATGCAATATTCAAATTTTAAGTTGCTTTAATTGTTGAAGTATTCAGTTAAAGAATTTAACCATTATTAAAAATATCTAGAATTTATTCAGTTTTATTCATTTAATCTGAATATAAACAATTATTCAATTAATTAATATGGTTAGATTTGCATAAAGCACATTCAACAACAGTAATTTGTTAATTTTAAGAAAGAGAATAATTATATTAAAGTGATGAAGTAATTTCACCATCTATTCTTTCAAAAGCAATTAAACAATTCTCAATAGGATTAGGATAACAATTGAGTCCATCAAGTGAAATATAGTATTTATTTATATCTATACATTTATGACATCTGATATTATCACATATTTAACAATTTTATCCACATTTTAAACAAGTTCCATTACTTAGAAAAGTAGTTTAAGGACAGGTTGCACATTCTACTTTATCTTTATTAATTTAACATAAAGCACATTCATTTGTTGGACACTTAACACATCCTTAATTTAATATTAAATAGTCAGATTAACATGTTAAACATTTAAATTCTTCATCACATTCGATACAATCTTAATTCACAATTACACAAGAATTCTATATTATTTTATGACAAGGTTTGCATTATATTTTAGTTAATTAATCTAATTAGAATCTTAAAATATATGTTAAATTATCATCTGTAACCAATCCTAAACATCCTTCACAAAGATCTAAACTTGAATCTTTTCTTATTAGATAATATTCGTAATCAATCTAATTTCTCTAGATCTTTTAAAAAGCACTATCTTTCTCAAAAATATCATTTGTCTAAAATTATATGTAATCTTATGAACAAATAGGATTTTTATACCAATCCATTTGATTTTATAAGCAATCAGCACATACTATCTTATGACTACTTTTTGAGGAAGGACATTTCTAACAAATTATTGAATTATTAATAGGAATTTAGAATTCATTCTCATCACATAAATTATAAAATTTAGTTTAAATTAATTGAAGCTATCCTAAATATGATATATGATCTATTTTTATTACATTAATTACTTTAACAAATATTATTTTCATCTTCATAATAATTTCGTTAACACAAACACTCATTATTTTTTAAAATTTTGAATGTATCATCATTACAACTTAAACAATGTGTTTTATCAGGACCAAAGCATGTCTTACAAATTTTATGGCATCCTTTTTAAAATTAAATTAAAAATATTACTTAATTTATATGTTTGATCACTCTAATAACAATACTCAAAAACTATATTTGCTAAGAATCCATTCATAGGAGTAGAACTTAATTTATCTCCTCCTAAATTTACTATTAAATTTGATGATTTGAATTAATTTCGCATAGGATAGTTATAATTTATATCATAATAATTTGAATCTAATATTAATCCATCTTTTATTTTAATATTAACATTATATAAAGGTTATTGAATTCCTGCTTCAAACATAAAGTAATGCCATTTAGTCATCAAATTAAATATATTTAATCCTGATTTCTAATAAGTATCATATTCAGTAGTTGATTAAAATGATAAAAATGGAAAATCATAAGAATAGGTATCAATTTTAATTAACGAATGTTCAATGTATTCAGGATTATATTGATAACTCATCATAAACACTCTATCCCCAAGAATATAATCATTTGAATAAAACTAATAAATAGCTAATCTTATGATTGTAATTTCTCTTATGATCCCATAATTATGATTTAATTTCACCCATCCAGATAAACTAAACCTTTCTTCTCTATAGAACTTTGTGAATACTTATGGAAAATTTGAATTTACTCCATCTATTAATATTTCAGTTATTTTTGTTGTTCCAATTGCTTTACAATAATTATACATATCACAACTCAATTAATCTAATGCTAAAAAACCTGATAAGGTTTCCACATAAAAATCATTAAAATACAACTAACTTCTATTCCCTCTGAATTTTTCTAAAGTAAGACCTGAATCTAACTTAGGAAAAACTTAGCCAAATGGAGTACCCTTATAATCTCCTAATATATAATTGTATTTTCCCTAAGTTCTCTCTAAGTTATGCCCTTTTGATTCAAAAACATAATCATCTGTCATTCCACCTATTTTTGCATACCAAAGATACACTTTATATTCTTTTGTTGATGGATTGTAACTGAAACAATGAAATCCCCAATTCCCTTCCATAAGTTATGAATCCAATCTAAATGATTAAATTCTTTCTATCTATTATATTTATTCATTCTAAAGTGTTGTTGAATAACTTTAATATGTATAGTGCTCTACATAAAAATACTCGTATTCAAACTCTTAAAATATCCTAACTGCTGAAGTTGTTTTATCCAATTCGATCTATTCTAGATACAACAGATAACGAGGATTATAGTTCTCTAATCTTGACATTCGGTTTAATGTTGGTTCCCATTTGAACCATATACCTATAGTTTACATTGTTGAAAATGTATGCGGAATTTCATAAATTGCTTCATCTAATATTTCTTATTTGCATCCAAATACTAGAATTTAGCTATCATAATGAATTCATTATCTACTTAAATTCATTAAACAGTAAAAGAACTTCAATCAAGAGAATTAACATTTTTATAATAATTTTACGAAGTTTTCTATTTAAAAATTTAAAATAGCTAATTTCTTTTTTAATCAAATTATTATTATTTAGGAAATTTAAATTAATATAATAATCTCCAATATTTCACACTTAATTATAAGTTGTCCATATTTCTAATATTACATACACATACTCAAACATATATAGATATGAAAGCATATTTGAAAGAATTTTGTTTGTTGTAAATTTCTCTCATCAAATTTTTTTAGGTATAAGATTTTCTGCTAAAATTTCATAACTCTAATTTCTGTAAAAAGTAAACATTATTTAAACAAGAAACCACCTATTTAGTACTACTTAAAATAATGTAAATTAATTTAAAAAAAGAAATTTATCAATTTGTTTCAATTTCATTAATTTGTTATTTCTCAAAATATTTAATATTGAAATTAGCAATGTTTATCAAAAGTATAAATAAATTGATAGTTTTTATTTTGATGAAAAATTCTTTAGAAGAGTTTTTCCATTCAATTTTTTTGTTAATAAAGCTTTTTAGTTTTCTTATCTAGATAAAATGCTTGTTTAAACTTAGAAATTTAATTCATGATAACAAAATAATGTCTCATCTCATTATATTAACACTTATTTATTTACAATTTTGAAAAGAATAACAAATTTTACTCATTTTCTCTTAATTCGTTTTACTTAATCTATTATTTGATATTTAAGCTTACAAGTTTTTATCTCTTTGTATAAATTTCCTTAAAACTTAGAGATAATTTAGATTTGCAATGCAGAATCTTTTTTAGCGATTTTGAAATGATAACTTTTGAATTTATATGATATATTATTGATATAATGCTAATTATAAGTTAGAATTCTAATTAGATCCCTATATAACATATTTTATATTAGAGTTACCAAGAGGGGGTATATTGGATTGTTTGATTGATTAATATTTGGGTGTGAATTAGGAATAAAATGAAAAATTGAATTAAATAGAAAAGATTGAATGATTGAATAATATGAGACATAATAATTTGATATAAGGATAAGTTATGGTGAGAAAATGTTAAAAATAAAAGTATTAGATTGAGGTTTAAACAATGAATTGGGTATAAATTGAAGTTATGTTATAAATATATATAAATAAAAAGAAAAACGGTAATATGATGAACAGAATAATATTAAAAAATGAGAATAGTGATCATTGCATTAGTATTTTGTTTAGCTACATGTGGTAAATTGAGAAGTTAAAGTCCATAGAAGTTATAAGCAGAGTTGCAAAAGTCAAATTATGGAAGAGCTTTGTTACATTTAGTTGAATTACATTCAATGGCTGGAGGATCTGTATCAGAATTAGTAGATGCAATAGAAGAGCTCGTAAATGATTTAGAAGATGGATTAGAATTCTTAGAATTCAATTTCTAACGTAGAACAAATGAACACAATGCCTTACTTGTTCAATTAAATTAACAAATTCAATAAGCTTAAATTGATGTAAGTAGATCAGAAGATGTTATTGATAATCTTTTATTACCAAGAAAAGAATAATTGGAAGTGAGAATAGAGAATTTAGAAGAGTATCAAGAATAAAATAGATAAAAGGTTGATGAGGAGAATTTAACAAGAGAATAAGAACATGAAGCATATGAAGCTTAAGTTGCTGAATTAAATGATGCAACTGCAGCTGTTGATGATGCATTAGCTTTATTATCAACACTAAATAACCCATCATTAGCTTAAGTTAAGAAGTTTTAAAATTCACTTAAAAAAATTGAATAAAGTATAAAACCAAGAAGTAAGATGGCTCCATTTTTAAAGGCTTTAATTACATTGGCATCAAATTAAAATTTCTCAGATTAAGGAGTTTTAAAATAAATTGTAGATGTCTTAAATGAATTCAGAAATGCTATTGTTGATTCAATTAATGATTTTTCATTATAAGAAGTTTAAGATTAAGAGAATTTTGAAGCAAGAATAGTCTAATTAGATGCTGAATTTGCTGAATTTCAGAGATAAATAAATGCTGTTAATGTTGATTTGACAGCTACTTTAGGTAAGAATAAAGTATATCTAAATTTTAGAAAAGATAGATTAAGTTACTCAATTTAGAGATCAAAGAAGATTAGATTAAGCCTCTTATGAATAATAACTCTAATTAGAGAATGATTTATATGCTGATGAAGTTTAAATTTACAATGATACTAAAAATGAATTTTAACGAGAATAAGCTATTAGTGAATAGGCTTTATCATTGGTCAAATCTGTAGATTTTAGCAATATACAAGTATGAAACATTAATATATATGATAAATATCATAAAAATTAAATTATAAATGTTATTCACAATTAATTGAGTACTATTTCATTGATTTTCTAATAAAATTCATTAAAGGGAATTAAAAAGTCTAATTCATTAGGAGGTTGAAATTATAAAGTAGATTGATCAAACAATTATTAAAATTACAAATCCTGATCAGTCATTTAGAATGTGCGTTTTGATACTTTGCAAGGAACAACAATCTATTTAGATTTAGATTTTTTTAATCTATAAATAAGTCTATAATTGTCTGAATCATATGTAATGAATTTCTTTCTAGGACTTACTAAATCAGATTAATTTTATGATAAATCATCTATTTGATCAAGATTTGGAATAATATCTTCTGGTCCTTCTGTTTTTGATATATCATGTATATGTAAATCATCCAAATCAAGATCTTCTTCTGTTTTACAAATTTCATGAGTTGTTGAAAAATCAATTTTCTAAACAATAATATTGTTGAGTAAATCTTAAACATATTTAGCACCAAAGGTTTTATCAAAACTCTTTTATTTCTTTTTGAAAGTATATAATTTGCGGATAGAAGTGTTCATAAATTTAACGAATAATATAAAAAATATTAGATAATTATTTATATATTTATTTATATATATATATATTTTACTATGCAATAATATGACTTTATCACTCAAATGATTCCAATTTTGTTGGCCAAATTAAGTGCATCATTTTCACCTCCTAATCTAATGTATGCCTTCTTTTTGCCTCCAAAGGTATTTAAGATCTGAATATAGGCATTTAAATATTACGTTGACTTTTCTAACTTTGACATCGTAAATTTTAGAAAATGCTCTTTTAATTTATGGTTTAGTAGCTTTTTAATTAACATAAAAGACCATAGTGTTTTCATCTTCCATTTTTTTCATATCCTTTTCTGTAATTAGAGGATGTCTGAGGACATTTTAGAAATCTAAACCTTTAGTAAGTGGTTTTAATTATCTAGTTAATCTAATGAATTAAGGTTTTCTTGTAAGTGCCAAAGGTGATGCGGTATGGAATCTATTTTAGAAATGAGTTCTTGCTCTGATAACTTTCTTAGCAACTCTAGCATTTTTGGCAGCCTTCTAAGCTTTTTATGTAGTTGTTGTTGTTGTTTATCCCTTTGGCATATTATTTAAAATAATTTTTTAAATCTTTTTTGTTTTGTTTTGTTTTGTATTGTATTGAAAATAAATATATTAAATAGAGATTTAAATATAATCAACATGAACAGAAACATCCTTAATTGGCATTATATTTTAACAATTACTCATCCTTAATTTAATCAGATTCATTGGGAGATATTAATTTAAAAGGTAATGCTAAAGTACTAATATACTTAGGGTTCTCATTCATAATTTATTATCTATTATTAGTTAACAACCACATATTATTAGATCCTCCATTGATAGCAGGATCTTCAGGTGGTGTAACAATAATAGTTGGAGGATTATTCTATTAAATGAAAGGAGCAGAATTATGTGAAGATTCCTCTTATATACTTTCACCTACAGATTTAAAAGCTATTAATTTAGATGTATCAGACATAGAGATATCTTTATCTTAAGGTTTGTGTGTATCTCCATTTGTCAACATACATTCAACAAGTGATCCTCTTCTGACTATCTTATCACCAGAATCTATTTGTCTAGCTTGAATCAAATTTTCAATTAGTTTCATCATTGCATTTTCAATATTCATATTCTCTTTAGCAGATACTTCCTGGAATAATAATTTCTATTTCCTTGCACAAAGCATACCTAATTCATTTCCAACTTCCGCATTCAGATCTATTTTATTTCCTAATAACATCTTTATGGCTGGTCTCTCACACTTTCTATAATGTATATATAAATTTATGTACTCTTCAAAATCAGAAATCCAAATATTTACTTACTCAAAACTTTTCATATTAGAAACATCATAAACAATTACTACTGCATCACAACCTCTATAATAATTCTTAGTTAATGATCGAAATCTCTCTTATCCAGCAGTATCCCACAATTATACTTTTACTTATTGTTTGTTTAAAGTAATAACTTTAGATTCCTTATCTATACAAATATTAAATACACATGCTACTCCTACAGTACTCATTGATTTCATAGCAAATTCGTTTTTTAGAAATCTTTTTATTATGGAAGTCTTCCCTACCGAACTAGATCCTAAAAATACTATTTTAAAGCAGAGCTATCTTAAAAGTATAAATAATAATAAATACATGTCTGATTTGATTTAAAAGGATTGCTTCATTAATTAATTTTTTAATGTTAGAAAAATTAATAAATTAGAGAGAGTGAGGGTTATTTCAGTTGATTTAAAAATATATTGATTAAATGTATCTAAATATATATATAATAAATAAATTAGATTGTTTTATAGAATATTAAATTTTGTATATTTAATGAGTCTAACATTTGAGAGATTGAAGAAACAAGATTTATTGTTATCAGCAGTGTTATATGAGAAGATACCAAAGGAGGAATTAATTTAACACTTAAGTTAAGTAAAAGGTGAAGAGTTTGACCTGATTGATTCATGGGCCTATGAAACATTATAAGCAGAAGTGAAGATGCTAGTAGATAAAAAGCATGAGGAATATCAGAGAACAAGGTAAATTTTAAGATATTAGAAGAACAATGAGTGCAGAAGAAGAAATACTCTAGAAACCTAATGTAATAATTAATGATGAAAAGAATTATAGAGAAACAATCTCATGCAAATAACTACCTCCCAATAGGTTAGTACTCTATTTTGTTGAAAATCCATAAATTGTAATCTAACCTAAAATTGCAGAATATAAGATAATTGAAGGAAACACTTTCACTCCAAATTATGTTAATTATTGTGTTGTGGTTGGGTAATTTGGATCAAATGTGTGGAGAAGAGTAGAACACTTCCATTGGTTATAAGAATCTTTACAATAATAATATCCTGATAGTCTTATACCTCCACTACCTCATAAAACTATATTTAGAAAGTTTACACCTGAACATATATCCAAAAGATCTAAAATGTTGGAACAATTCCTTGGTGCCATCCTTAACAATCATCTCTTAAGACAATCTGATTTTATTGAAGGCTTCTTATTTATTGATGATGATATCAAATTTAAGTAATTGTTAGCTGCCTCTTCTGTTTTAAAATAACCAACCAAATATACTGATTATGCTAATCAAGAAGGGTAAGTCATTTTAGAATTCAATCCTATGATGGATAAGTATTTTATAGATATTCATAAGTAATTATTTCATTTTCATTCTTTTAGTTACATGTTAAACACTAATGATATTTATAAAGAATTAACCGATAATTCAAGGTTTCTTGTTGCCTCAATGAAAGACTTAATTCTCAAAGTTAAGAATCTTTATGGAAGCATAGGTTCTTTAAAGGAAGCTACCAAAGCTTTTAATCTTAAAAATATTGTTGGTAGTCTTCCTTTATTAGAATTTGTTTATACATTACTTGAAGAATACTTTATTGATTGGAGTGCCAATTTAACCAAATTGACTAACACTTTAAATGAAAATCTTTATGAATTCTTTAGGTTCTAAAGGGATATGCAAAATTAATGTGCGGAATTGATCTCTACTAGAAATAAAGCCTAATCTAAATTTATTAAGGAATAATAAGATTTATTGAAGAAGAAATACAAATACTTTACTAGTGAACCTATTGAAAAATGGGAAATGGTCACTGATATGGATAAAACCAAAATTAAATAAAGTTAGGCTCTCTCATATCATTTTATGTTTCCAAAAGAAACTTAAGAAGTTGAAGATTTAAAAATGAGATTTGCATATGTCAATAGATAAGCATTTTAATAATTCACTTAATATTTTGATAATAAAAGCATCTCCTACACTTCTAGAATGTTTAATATGAGTATACGCAAAAAAGAAAATGCTGCTTAACATACACAACATGTTGAAAAGATTGTTTAATAATTCATGTAACTTGTTGCTATGAGAAATGGTGAAATCCCAAATCTCAAATAAGAATGGATTGATTAATACTTCAATCCCCTTAGAATTAGTTGTATTGTTAAGTGACTATCCCTTGAGAATTATATTATCATCATTTATTATCATTATAATTTCATTATAGCCACTATTGTACATTCTTCATATTTAGCATCTGAATATTTTATCATCCCTTTCTTATAAATAAATGTTCCATCACTCAATCCTATCATTCCATCTAAACCATTCAATGCTTATACTAATAAATGTTCATGATTCTTTGCATCACTTTAATTCATTAATTTATAATCATTCTCATCTATTTTCTTATTTCTCTCTATTAACTTTATTTCTATCTCCACTGGATCTTTATAATAAAGTGATGCTATCTATTAAGCTTTCTTCACAATCTACACTATTATTTTTGTATATATGCTCACACTTTCAGGCAAAGCATTACCTTCAAATCTTGATTCATTACTCATCGTTGAAATCACTAAAAAAAATCTAACTATTATCAATAAACATTACCCAAAAACAAAACCTGTTATAAGAATTATAATCATCTCAAAAAAATCAATATCAAAACAAGTTATGAACAATTAAAATACTATCAAACCACTTGTCAATATATATAAAGATTATTGATGCAATTATAGATCTTTCTCAGTATCAGCTGACAAAACACTTAAAAATTAAGCTAATATTTATCCTCCAAAAGTTAAAATTATCATCAAAGCTACATTCATATTATTTACTGCTTTAATGCAAGCAAATAAAAAGTAAAATAGAATTACAAATATCAGATAAAGTATAGAACTATCAATACTGAGAGACAAAATTGATATGAACAAAAGTGCTCCTAAAAACAAATAAAGAAAATATCCATTTTGATTGAAGAATGTGTTCATTGATTCAAATTCAAGCTAGTTAGTATTAATAATTTACTAAGTTAAACAATGCAATGAAATAGGATATGAGCATCATAAAATAGAGTTTAGTTAAATGGTGTAAATGGTCTGATGAATTTGAATTAGTATTCTCTTATTCTAGTAATTAATTATTGTATTGGAGATTTCGATTAACAGATGTTGATTATTATCCAATTCTTGGAGACACAATATATCTAGATTGAGCATTTGGAATAAATGTATTTGGAGATTAACTGCTAAACATTTATTATATGTGAAATAATTTATTTTATTAATCTCATATGAAGTTTTAAGCATACCATTTCTTTGTAAAGTCATCACAATCAAGTAAATTAAATTTCCAACCATTTATAACAACTTCATTTCCAACTAATAAATCTTTTGGAGTGAAAAACTCGTTGTTATTGTTAATATTTTTGTACTTTCTTTTTTCTAAAAATTTTCCATCAGGTATTCCTAAAATTAAAAAAAATACAAAATACCAGAATTACGAACAGTAGGTTCATAGACTAAAAGACTATCATCATTCAAAAAGAAAGTGATAACAAATACTCTATCTTTATCTTCAGGTTTATTTGTATTAAACATAGCAAGAAATCTGAGATTAACTTGATTATCAACCCATTTAAAGAAATCTTTCTTTGGTGGTTTAGGTTATAGTCTATATATATATCCAAGGGAATCCTATTCATCACCAATTCCATTATGTGGAGGTATAATAATATCTATATAATATAATAAGAATAAATACTTGATCTTTCTTATTAGATATATTCTTCTTATCCTCCTAAAGGGAAGTCTACATTAAATTTATCAAAATAGTATTATCTTGTAAATTGATCACATCCATTGATGAGAAATTTACGATTATAAATGATTAATGGTTATCCAAATTAAATATCTTATGGTCTTATAAAATCTTCAGCATAAGTTTATCCAGGTTGATTGAGTGAGAATTTCCTTGGTAATTTCTATCTTCTCAACATCATTGGGAATGGAACTCTTCCTGAATTAGCAGAATTAATTTCTTTGATTTCAATAGTATCATCAGCAAGATAGTAATGTAGAATGTATTCGATATCAGAGAAAACATAGAATTTAAGAACCTTTCTATCATTTTCTAAGAATTATTTTTAGGATGTAACTCTACCACCTCCTAATTTATGTTCTAAATAATCTTTCATAACAGTATCTTTTTAAGGAATGAATTTAGTCATAGTTTTAGTTTCAAAGAAATCAGGTTATGGTACAAAAGAAGATTGTTAAGGAATTCCTTATAACTAAGAAATGTATGAAATGATAGATGTACTTCATAAAATTCTCTTGTGTATTAATCACAATCATAGAGTCGAATAGTTTTACCATATATTATAATGTCTTAATTAATTTTAAAATCTTCAGGTAGAATAAAGGTTTTAGAATCATCAGCACGTAAAACCTATGTAGATTATTGCATTTGTATACTTTCTATCTTTTTAAGAATGCTCCTTAAGGTACCCCACTATTTTCTTATTTTGGTTCTGTTATACTTAATGAATGATCTTCAAGATAATAACAGATTGTTATTTTGCGAATTCTATAATTTTCAAGTGCTGATTCTACAACAGCTTCTTTAAAATAACCACTGAATCTTAAGACATGTCTATCCATCTTAACCCAAGATGGTTAATACAATTCTTCAGAATCATTAGTAACATTCTAAGAGTGTAACAGTTTTTAATACTTTAGGTAAATGCATAGCATGAGTTGTACTCATATAATCAGGATTAAACATTCCTGATTAAGGAGGTATTTGAATTGGTTATTTACGGGGTACTACATATTCCTTGTTTGGAAGATGATTCACTTCTCTATTTTTTTCTTATTTATTTGAAGACACTTTTCTAAAATTAGGTTTCTAATAATTAATTAACTATCTTACATCTATCTCTTAAGTGGGTACAAATCCTGGCAATTTAGGAAATGCAGATGCCATTTTATTATTATTTTTAATATTATATATAAATATATAACATTTAAATCATTCAGAAATTTCATTAGTTTCATCATTGTCTACTTAAGCTTAATCACTTAAATTTTGGGATACTCTATCAAATTATTTTTAATTATCATCTTTACTAAATTGTTTTTAATTGTCATCTTCTTCAAAATTAATATCAACTTCTAATTTAAAAATACTTTACAACTAATCTCAATACATAAAATTTACTTATTTAATAGCTATTCCAATTTTTTCAACAGGATAATCAATTGTATATTGATAATTCAAATTCATTTTTAATTTATATACTGTAAATTCAAAATCTTCTTTATTTTAATTTAAATATTCAGACATTCCAAACACACTAGTTCCTAATTATGCAATCATACAAATTATGCCTATTCCGTAATTCAAATCATCTTTTTAAATTGTTTACATAATTGTTGTACCCCTAATTTATGATTTCAAGTCTTATTCATATGAAAATATAAATTTTATGCGAAACTCTTATAATTCATCCTCTATATTAAGTATTTCTATTAAGACATCTGTTATTTATTCCAACTATTACCATTTATTATTATAATCCAATATTTAAACAACTATCTATTCAATTACTCTATAACTGATATTTTAATCATTCCAACAAATATGCTTAATCATCTAAACCAATTTTTTTTAATGCTAAACCATTGATAATATGTATCTCCTAAAATCATCATTCTCAAATAATTCCTCAATCCATAATTAATCAATATTCAAATTTAATTACCCCTTTTAACAATAAGTTGGACATAATCCCTGAATGTTACATTATTACATACCAATTGTTATACAACTTTGAATCACTTTCCCTAATATCTCGCATATCAAAATTAAAGATTCATAATTTGTTAATACTATTTTTAAATAATTACTACCCTACAATAATTATATCTTCTCTTTCAATATTGAATAAAACTTATTAAAATAACCATTCTATTATATTTACTTTAACAAACCCTCATCACTATCCAAATTATGACTTATTACATCAAAGTAATAAACTCCTTTCTTAACATTATACCTTATTATTGGTAATAATTCACTCAAATAACATACGAAGAATTTATCTACACTAGACACATTCATTTTCCTAGCTTATTCAATTACTAAATTTAATACTTAAGCACTTTCAATTGTTTAAGATTCTACTAAAAGTTCAATCAATATTTATTTATTCTATGTCCAATATTCTACTAATTAAAGACATGCTTAACTATTTTTATAATAACTATTGTTCAGAATTCTTATATTATTTTAAAATATCTATTAATTCTTGTTTTAGAGAAATAATTTAAATGTAAATACAGTAAACAATTTAAGCAATTCAAATTGATAATATGATTCAATATTTTCTATTCCAAATTATAAAAGTCTTTATAAAAAATTGATATACTCTTGATCATTCAATAACTTATTCATTAAATACAATGTATTTTATCTTATTACTTCATTTCTCAAATATATTTCATTATTATTTTCAATATCAAGATCCCTCTTTTATTCCTCCTCTCCCAAATCTTCAATTTCAACTTAAGTCTCATGTTCTGATTGTATAACTTTCTCATAAAATAACATATATGCATTCTTACTATTCTACATACCCCATTAATTGTCTTTGTTTGAATTACCTCCGAAGCATTATTCATTTAAATTTAAAATATCAAAGGGAAGAATCAATTTATCATTAAATTCAAACCATAAGTTTTAATTATCTTTTATGTATGAAAAATAATGTCCACCTTCTGCACATCCTGTATGAACTAAAACACCTTTCAACATATATTAATACTCTTAAAAATTATCAAGTTATTTATGTTCTACAATATTATCACGAGTCCATTTAAACATATTGATTTCAAGTGGAAATTCACAATAATCATTAATCTTACTTCGAGTATTTGTATTTATATCAAATTCAAATCGTTTAAGATGAAAAATAAAAGTTTTAGGTAATTTTAAGAAGTAACATCTTTTTTCAACATCAATTTTACGTTATACTTCATCACAAAAATATTGATTCTCTCCATCTAAAACATCTGATTTTACAAAAAAATCTAAAGCTTCAAATAAATTCTATTTATTTTTAATCTCAACTGAAACAGTTAAAAATGGTTCTTCTGTTTCTTTCTAAAAATCACAATTAATCTCTTATGATTTAATTTCATTTACTAATGTACCACCAAAACTTTGATTTATTAAATTAGATTGTAATGTAGGTTTGAGATCTGATTCTAATTTTAAAATTAATAAATTAAAAAATTCATTACAATCTCCTTAAATAATTGGATTAATGTACTATCCATCAAATCCTTGAAGTGTCTTAATAAACTAGATTGGATTAATATATTATTTAACAGATTCCTAGAGTTAAATAAAAACGAATTATAATTGAAATAATGTATGATCATTTAAATCCTTAATTTGTTCTTAACTCAATAAACATGGATTTTATATTACAAGAGGTATTAATTTATCATCATCATCTCTAATAAGAATTTATCCATTCAATATTCCTTTACGAAATTAAATGTTCATAAATAATTATTATAAAAGTGAGTTAATATAGCAAGTGGCACCTTCATTATAGAGACCAACATATCCATGAGATCCCTTAATACCAAATTCACAATATTGATCTGATGATATATATGCCATTGACTGATTCTTTTAAATTAAATATAGAATCCGAAAGAGATGTTTCTTAATTTTACTTAACTCTAATAATAAATCAAAAGCTCTTTTCCTAGTATTATTCCTCTTATAGATTGGATATATTGAATAATTATTTTGCATTTCAAATAAACATTCATAGATATATTGAGAGAACTCATCATCAATCAAATTCTCTGATAAAGTTGAATCTCTCTTTAATAATGATTTTAATAATAATAAATTACCCTACAATAATTTATCTTCATTCTCTCTAAATGGTGATTCAATTATTTATCTACTCTTTATAAAATTTAAGATTTGTAAAACTAAATCTTAAGTTTTTAAAAAAGATATATCATTAGCTTATTCAATTAATTCTCCAATAACAATAAATAATTCTAATTACTCTGTTTCTCTTTTAATAAATTCAATTAACAATTATTTACTCAAATCATATCCAAATTTCTAAGCAATACTATTAAGTGTAAGAATAAAAATTGCACTTAATTTACGTTATTCTGAAGATTTATTAGTTAACAATTAAAATAACTTATTGATTGGTATTTATTGACTTAATAGATTTGGTTTAATATAAAGAACACACAAAATAGTTGTATAACATTATTCAATATCTATTCTTTAGAATAAATTCTATAACAAATTATCCCAATTAATTTGAATATCAATTTTATCATATACAAATAATTAATTTTAAGTTTGCAATGCTTATATTTCATTATCTTATAATAAATTTTATACAAGAAACAAACTTGCTATTTAATTCGTTTATTTTAATTTAAGTAGACAAATATAATCATTATCTATAATTTAATTAATAGCATAACTATTTAAATACATTTAAAATATATCCAAAATAATTAATAATATTTCTTTTGGTTAATCAAGATTATTTAATAATAATTGCAAACCTCCTTTGGATAAGAAATTATGTCTCAAATTTTTATAATAATCTTATTCTTCTGCATAATCGCAAGATAATTATTCTTTTAGTATTTATAAGTGGTATTATAAACGATATTTATTATCAACAATAAACAATTTACTCCAATCATTTTATGAGGATTCGATCAATTAATAAACCTATTAATTACTAGGAATCATCTACAATATACTCCAAATTTTTTCATTTAGTTCTTAATTTTCTTAATTTAGCTACTTGAATAATTATTCTATATATTAATTTGAAATCAAGAATGCAAATGAAGAATTATTTTCAATTTTATTTAAAGTAACAAGATTGATATTTTTCTATTGATACTCAATATATAATTGATCTCCTTTTTCCAATAAATCTTCAACTGCATGATCTACATCCCAATTTCTATCTTTCAATATTGATAAAATATATTGCTTATTATAAATATTTACAATATCTTAAATCTTTTTTATTTTTTCATTTACATCTTAATCTAATTTTTAATGAGTTTCATTATAATCTCTATTTGATAATATGAATGTTAATTTAGAGTTGACTTTGTAATCTTTTAAAGTCTTATGATCCTTAAATATAGTGCCTTTGCAAAATATATCGAATCCTTCTGGTTTCATTTAGGGATTCAATTTCTAACCAATAATTTATTTAGCATGATAAACTTGTAAATTACTTGATATTAAAATTTCTTATTTTTTTGGATTTAAAGCATTTGAACAATTATTAAGAATATTAATTAAGATCTTTTCTTCTTAATCCATAAGCATAAATCCTTCAAATGCTTCTAATAATTAGATTACTAATTAAATTGATGTAGGATTTTAAATTTATGAAAATAGTTCATTTAAATAGTATTATTTTAAATTATTTAAAATGTTAGAGTTTGATTACATTTTTAACAATTTGATAAAAAAGTCAGATAATTGATTGTATAATTCAGGTTGAGAATGAAATATTCTCCATAATACATCAATACCTATCATATTTTAATCTAATAACTCATATTCATCATCATTATTTTTTTTCATCACTTTTAATTTGACATTGAAATGAAGAAATAATTTGATAAGACATCTAAGCATTGATTATGATTTTTATTATTATTTGATAATTTCAAATAGTAGCCATTCAATGGCATCCTATTCTAGATTTGTTTATCGAAAAGACCAATTAAAAAATAAATCTTTCTCTTCCAGACATCTAGCATTTTCTTGGAGCAATTTCCACAATAACTATAATTCATATTGTTTAATTTTACTATTCTAATTTAAAAATTCATAGAAATTAACACATTAAGTAATCACCTACAAATATTCATTCTCCACTTTCTTAAGTGATTTTAATTTTTCTCTTTATATCAATTTTAAATAATTAAATTTAACATCAAATGTCTATTGCATCCATATTAACAATTAAATAGAATTTTAAAATTTTGAAATTGGATATGAGGATTAAATGATTTATTAAATCATAATAAAATAATGATATATAGATAATTAGGTTTGATTTGAATTCAAAGCTTCGATAGCAATAATCAAATATTAAATTCTTAAACATTGAAAATGATAACAAATAAGTTCAATTGCAATATCAAATGCTGTTTTACCTATCAAATTATTGCATTATTCATGTACAACAATAAATAAATATTCTACAATTTAGTTTTTAATTTATAATTATTATTTAGATTTTTATTGAGATAAGATATTCTCTTCACAAGATTTATTCTCTTAATTAGTACAATCTCCAAATTAAATTACCTTATAGTCATCTTATGTATTTAATTTTTATTTCTTATATTTACTATCAATAACTACACAATCTTTAGCATTATTAACAAAACCATTACTTAAATATTCATTTCTACCTAAACTTTTTATGAAATTTAAACCATCCAAACCTATAGGATTAGATTTAATGTTTTATAACATAATCTATACATCTTCTATATTTAATATTTCTGCTAAATTCTATAATATTTTTTAAATACTATGCATCCAAGTTTCATGTTTACCTCTTGCCAATTTAAAAATAGTTACCAAATCTTCTCCTTTTATACTTTTATTCAAATAAAGAAACTTCACAATAGGGAATGAATGATTGATTAATTCATAATGAGATTTCTCTCCAAATAAATCTTGGAATACTTAATTTTCTACTAAAAAATTTAAAACCACTTAATTATTATTTTTAAAATTCTATGTAGATGTTAAGTTATTGTTGATTATGATAATATTACCTAATTACTATAACCCTAATAAAATATATGAATTTTTGATTACCATAAATACGTTTTTGGATTGATGAACAACGGAGACACAATAAATAAATTCTCATTTAAAATAAAATTTATTATGTTTATTTGTCTTAAGACATATTTTAATTTGAAATTAAGGTTGGTGTAAATAAAATAAATTAATTTAGATATTTTTCAGTAGAATTTTTAATATCATCATCAGATAATTTATAGGCTAATGACCAAAAGTTTAAATGTTGAAAATACTTCATATATACATGTTTATCAATGTATTTTTTGAAATATTATTAAATGTGTAAGTAATCTAAGTGTTTAAGAGTGAAATGATTAAATGAATCATTTAATAGATCAAAACCACCATTCTTATAAAAGTAATGAATTTGCATACGTTAAAATGGTGAGAAATTATAGACATTCAACTCCAAGTATAATTAATCGAGAACCTCATTTATTAGAGGATAAAAAGATTACATTTATTATTGATCTATATTAATCTCTACTTCATTTGAGAGATTATAAAGTATTCTTTCATTATAAAATTGAGTTATGCATTAATTATAAACTTACAATTCAGTAATTCGACTATTATAAAATTCAATAGTTTAAAGATTGTGTATTTCTTTGAATAATGACAATACTTATATGGGATATTACTTCCAAATTTTGAAAGCCAATTTCTAAACTAAAAAAAGGATCTCATTTAGATAACATTGTAATTTCAATCTCCTTTAATCATAGATACTAATTGATCAAAATAAATTATACATTTTGTTCAAAATAAATATAATGAATGGCTATAATCTTTGATTTAAATATTAGGGTAAATATTGTAAATTGATGACTCTGTCAGAAAGTAGGGCTTTTAATTCTTTTTCTAAATCACTTAGACATTAAATCCATTAGCCATTTTGAGCAACCTAAATATTATAGATTTTGAGTAACCTTTTAGATTGATGTGTGATTCAACACAAAAACCGCATTATATTCTAGAAAATGTTAAATCTTCTTATAGGAACTGTCAACATCTACTAAAGTAAAATCTTCATAATCTATAGAGTTTTAAGAATTCATGAGATGTCTGAATATTTGTATTTATTATAATAATAATTAATATGACAGAATAGATAAATATAGGTCATTTAATATATATGTGCATCATCACAGTTTGTTATTTAGGTTCTATTGGATTATGTAGAACAGTCATATTTTCGACAATCTTGAAAATAGATGATGTTGTAATCAATTCGGTTTCGATAGGGATATTCACATTAATGTTTTTGATTGGACCTTTTTCATTACCTTTGTACTAAAGGATTATCCTTAAATTTACATATAAGTACTATTATTTTATTTAAATAGAGCAGTATTTTTCAGCACTAGCTTTATCAATGTTATGAGCACTGCTCTCTATATAGTAGTTATTGAATAGAGACCTAAATAAATTTATTTGATCATCACTATTTTGATATTTGAAGCTATTGCTACTCCATTTTTAGCAATCTTCTATTGTGCATACAATTATTATGTTAGGAGTATCTCTAATTCTAAAAATGTTGGTATTTACTTTGGAATTGCTTATTCTTTATTTAGTATGTAGAATTTTATTGGAGATATCTATATTACTTTTGGTAATTCTATGTATTAATATAATGAATATTTCTATTATCCAATGTTACTTATATCATTGATAATATCAATCTTATATCTATTCATCAAAGAACCTAATATCCAATCCAATTCAACATCTACTTAAAGTATTAATTTACAGCAAAAGTTGAATTAACACATCTATGGATCTTATGAAGAATAATAAATTAAATAAGATGATCATCCAACGTATTCAAATTAATTCATTAAAATTTGGACAATAACTAAAAATGATCCACTTTTTATTTACATAATTCCAACAATTATTTCCTTAGGAATATTCTCAGCTTTTAACATTGTATTTTCATAAGACATGATTGTACCTCATTATCCTATGCAATTAAATCAAGAACTTATTACTGGTTTAACACTTCATGGAATAGGATAATTTTTAGGTGGCATTACTTTTGGACTTATCTCAGACATTTATGGATATCTTAATTTACTCATCATTCTACAGATATTTGCTATCCTTACTTACATTATTTCAGTAAATTTATAATATTTTATAAGGATTATTGGATAAACAACCCTCAACTCTATCACTCTCATATTTATCTTTGATTTTATGTCTGGCTTACTTATCTCCTCTTCATAAGTTATCACTTTTGCTTTCTCAGCATCATAATACCATCTAAATAAAAATGTACTCCAATTTTGTAATTGGGTTTATTGCATTACTTTTTATATATTTACTATTCTTATGAGTTTAACCACCATAACCAATTTTATTATAGGACTCATCACATTCAGTTCTTTCATTATTTTATATTCAATCCTTAATTTTATTTGCTTATGGTTCCATAAAAGATCAATTCTTATCCATCAATAATGATTTATCACATTTATTTTTTAATTATTTTTAAAAGATCTAAATTAAATAATATATATACGCATATTTATAATTCTTATTCTTTTTCACATCATTATAATATTTATTATAAATCTAATTATTCAAATGTACTCTACCCTTTCTATTAATTCTAAAGATAGCTTAGAAGAATTCCTATCTTTATATCATTGTAAAGATCCACATTAAAAAACTCTCTTAAAAAAAGAAAGGGAAATCATTCAATACCTAAAATCACTTGGTCTTCAAATGAAAACAGATCCACTTCTTAAATATCAACAAAAAAATAAGTATTCAATTATTCTATCTAGTATTGTATTCCAAAGTAATAACTCCTTAGATCAAGAGATAGTATTAGAAAAAAAAGAATCTGAAGATGACTATGAAGATGACTATGAAGATGACTATGAAGAAAAGGAACTAGTAATTTCCAACAATCCTATTATTTAAAAAAGAAATAGTTAAAAACTAATTAGAGTTTTCTCTTTTGAGAACAATAACAATAATTCATTCGATAATGAATAGTAGAACTCCTCATTGGTATCAACATGATACAAAATTATTAATATATTTTATTATAAAGTTTATTCAGACGATTTTTATTACTAGTTATTTTTATATAATTTAACATCAATTTTTATTTGTAATTATTATATAATATGGATTATTGATATTAAAAAATAGTATTACTTTAATTTATATTCATAAAATATAATCTAAATTTTATAGAAACATTTTCACAGGAAATTACTTTTATAATTAATATTTTTAAACATTTTTTATTTCAAATTTAATTTTAAATAAATTTCTTTTCTTTAAAGTAATTCCTGCAAATTCTCATAATGGATATATTAAATAGTTTTTAATATATGCATATATTTTAGTTTATGCATATATTTAATCTAAAAATAATATCATCAAATCTCCTATTACAAATTATAAAATTTTTTATAGATATAAATTAATAAACTATCTTTTTATATTAAAATTAAATCAAAAATATTTAATTGATTAGAATTTAATCTTTGGAGAAAGGAATACTCTAATTCGAATTATTTTTATCACAAAATATTTTTGATATACTATGCATATATATACGAAAGAGAATTTAAATAGATTTACTTATTATTTAATATATTTATATTTAACCACAATCATTTGCTTAAAAAATTATTATTCACATTACTATTAATCTAACATTATTAATATGGCTAATAATTTATTTTTGACATCATCATATTATTTTGTTAAGAATTAGGATTATTGGTCTACCCTTAAAAACTTTAAGAAGATTGATTGTTAGTAAACTAACCTTATTGTCCTAATATCTATTAAAAATGGTTTGAAATTAAAGGAATCATTTTATTTATTTAAATATTCATATTATGAGTTAAAGTATTTACTACTTATGCTATTCCATAATTTGAATTATTGTTGACAACTAATTTTAAATCTGGAATCATTTTTTCCTTTATATAATCTAATGTTTTTGAGTTTTTAATTAAATCTTATTACAAAAACTCTATTTAGTTGCTTTCAGTAACAGTTTCTTGTAATTTTTAAATTTCAGTATTGATTTTATTTATTTCATCTTTTGATACATAAATTATCTTTTTTAATTCAATATTAAAAGATTTAAACAAAGATGAAAGAATTTCTAACTTATCATTTGATTTTTTGATATTTTATTATAAATCTAGAACTTTTTAATCCCTTATATGATCTGACTTTTAGGTCGTTTTACCTAAATCTTCTAACAAAGACTTTATTTAACTGATTTCATTAATACTTTTTATAGATTGTTCTAACGATATTAATTTTGTAGCGAACTATTAATTAAGTGATTTTTCTTATTCTGTCTATGCCTCTTTTAAAAATTATAATTAAGAAATAACAACTTATTAAGAATTATGAATTTACTCAATCTTTTTCTGGATTGAATTATTCTTTAATTCATTTTGTAAGTCTTAAATTTGAATTTCTTTTTGTTCAGCTTATTTGTGTAATTTTTCAATTTCCTACTTATATTTTGGTATTTCTTAAACATAACTTTCGATTGAATTATTAAATTATTCTATGTTCATAAATTTACTATTTATTATTAATTAACTTAATTCATCCTTTTTATTTTAAAAATCTTTTTCGATCATTTCATCATCTAATCCTAATAAATCTTAATTAATTTTTTTATAGATATATGTTGGACTTTTGTTAATAAGATTAGTTATTTTAACTTCCAAGATTTTCAAATTTTCCTTGACTTCTTCAAATTATAAACACTTATCCAACTTTTCTTATTAAATTACTTTTAATTATGTGTCAATTTTTTCTTTAACATCTCTTTTGAGATCATTCTTTTTTACATTAATTATTTTATGCAAATCATTCTGTTACTTCTTAACCTCATGATATTTTTTTATAAAACCATCTTAAATATGTTTTTAATGATTAATGCTTGCACACACATAGCAAAGATATTCTTATTATTTTAAACAATCTTAATGTGTGCATATATAGTTTTTTTTCTCTCCATGCAATTCACATTTAAAATTTTTTTTTTCAACTGTATGAATAAGAAATTATTCCTTCTCATAATCAGGAACACCATGAATCTGAAATTCAAAAGTTGATATCTAACTAACTCTGAATTCCAATTCTTTGATTTCATAATTGAATTAACTTTCTAAAATTTAATTAATTTAAGAATATTGATTTTCAATAAATTATTACTTTTTGTCGTTCATAGTTGTAAATATAATAAAATTATCGATACTTTGATTATTCAAGACAGATTATTGATTTAATATTTTAATTGCTTTGCTAATGTTTTCTGACAGAATTTTGTTTTATTTCTCAACTAACTAAGTAATGAACTTTTATTATTTTTCAAAATATTTTTTTAGTTCAAACTATCTTTTTCCAATAATCTATTTTTTTTAATACAAATATAATTCTCTTCTACTTCTGGATGAGAACTGCACTTTTTATTCATGATAGAATTAAACAATTGAATTAAATAAAAATAATTCAATTGTTAAAAAATCATATTTTTCTATTAAAATTAAATTAATCTCCTTAATAATAGCTTTTAAAATAAAATTGTGTGATATAACACAGTTGGTTTATGTTAAATACAATAAATTATTGTGTATATAGTAGTAGGAAGATTATTTTAGATTGTAGCCCTAGCAATATTATGATATTTTATATATTATTATTATTATTAATATGTAAATTATATTTTAAATATTATTATTAATATGATAATTTAAAAATTTACATTTAGTCTAACATAAAGTAAATTATTTTTACTTAGATTTTAAAATGTCTATTATGAATGAATTTAGATTTTAATGAGAGTTTATGAATATTTATATACATATTAAAATAATAAATTTGAATGAGGAAGATTAAAATAATAATTAATATTGTAATAATAATAAATGATTACTTAGAACATATATAATCATTTTTCAGGATTGTATTATTTTGTAACAGATTCCATATGTTTCTCAATAAAGAATTGTAATCTCAAAATATAATCTTC